CATCATCCACACCAATTCTGGCACACACACACACATCTCACACGTTTCGTAGCCCCATACGGAGCTCCACCGAAGGCCCCAGGTACCGTCCACATGAGTCCCCCACACCCATTTCGGCACACCCCCCCTCACACGTTTCGTGGCCCCATAGGGAGCTCCATCGAAGGCCCCCAGGACCACATGCGTCCCCCGCACCCATATCGGCACACCCCTCACACGTTTCGTTGCCCCATAGGGAGCTCCACCGAAGGCCCCGGAGCCACTGTCCACATGCGTCCCCCGCACCCATTTCGGCACACCCCACACACGCTTCGTGGCTCCATAGGGAGCTCCACCGAAGGCCCCAGTGCCACCGTCCACACGCGTCCCCCACACCCATGTCGGCACACCCCTCACACGTGCCCCATAATGATCATAGGGAGCTCCACCGAAAGCCCCAGTGCCAATGTCCACATAAGTCCCCCGCACACCCATATCGGCACACCCCTCACACGTTTCGTGGCACCATAGGGAGCTCCACAGAAGGCCCCAGTGCCACCGTCCACATGCGTCCCCCATACCCAGTTCGGCACCCCCCTCACACGCTTCGGGGCCCCATAGGGGGCTCCACCGAAGGCCCCAATGCCACCAGCCACATGCGTCCCCCACACCCGTTTCGGCACACCCATCACACGTTTTGTGGCTCCGTAGGCGGCTCCACCGAAGGCCCCAGTGCCACCGGCCACATGCGTCCCCCACACCCATGTCGGCACACCACTCACACGTTTCGTGACCCCACAGGGACCTCCATCGAAGGCCCCAGTGACAGCGTCGACATGAGTCCCCCACACTCATTTCGGCACACCACTTACACGTTTCGTGGCACCAGAGGGAGCTCCACAGAAGGCCCCAGTGCCATCGCCCACATGCGCCCCCCCGCGAATTCCGGCACACCCCTCACACGCTTCGTGGCTCCATAGGGAGCTCCACCGAAGGCCCCAGTGCCACCGTCCACACGCGTCCCCCACACCCATGTCGGCACACCCCTCACACGTTTCGTGGACCCATAGCGAGCTCCACCGAATGCGTTTACTGCCACTGGCCACATGTGTCCCCCACACCCATTTCGGCACACCCCTCACACGTGTCGTGGCCCCATCGGAGCTCCACCGAAGGCCCCAGTGCCATCGCCCACATGCGTCCCCCACACCCGTTTCGGCACACCCATGACACGTTTTGCGGCTCCGTAGGGGGCTCCACTGAAGGCCCCTGGTTTCTGCCGCCACGCGAGCCGCTCGATCCTCAACGCCGCGCCCGGGCTGCCGCCGCGCGGAGACACTGCGGTCCTACCGTTATGTGCATGTCCGTTCTTCCCCCTCCCCTTCCTCCTCCTCCTCCTCCTCCTCCTCCCTTCTACTCCTCTCTGATCCTCCCTGGTCATCCTCTCAAATATCGACAGAGCACCCTTTAGCAAAACGCCTCTTTGTGAAAGCTGCCAGGGGCGCTCCACGTGCACACGTGAGTCACCGCATACGGAGTGGACCCCAGCAGATTCGCGAAACCGACCGGAGACTGCCCAGGCACGCTCCAATGCCAGTGCCAAGGAAGCCGTGCAAATCTCCCCGGTCGACTTGTCTGGGTGGGCGTTCTCTCTATGCCTGATCCTCCTCACCGCATGAGATTCACCTCGGCCTAGACTCTGCCAGGACTCCGGCTGCGCCCGCACGACGCGGCCTCGGCGGAACAGCGCTTCAGTCTTGGGCCGCATGCCGCGCAGCGGCCTACACCAGGGCCCGGCGCGTGGCCGAGCAAGAGCCCCATCCTCCGCGGCCCCCCTGCCTCTCCGCGTTCCTCCTCCCTCTGGCTTCCCCCGTCCTTGTTCCTCCCTCCTCCCTCCTCCTCTCTCTCTCTCTCTCTCGCTCTCTCTCTCTCTCTCTCTCTCTCTCGCTTTCTCTCTCTCTCTCTATCTTGACTCCTCGGAGGCCCCGAGGGGCCGCGGACGGACCCCCCACCGCACCCGCGGCGGACCGGCGGGGGGGTCCGCAGTTCACGCCCGCCGCGCGCGACGCGCGCGGCGGTCCTCCGAAGGAGGGAGAGAGTGGGCCCGCCACCACTCCCGATCAAACCTGAGGAAGGAAACAGTCTGCTCCCTCCCCCTCCTCCTGCTCCTCCTCCTCCACCATGTGCAATGCTCAGTTTCCTTGACCTCGTCTCGTACTTTCCTTTCCTTTCCTTTCCTTTCCTTTCCTTTCCTCCTCCTCCTCCTCCTCATCATCATCATCATCATCATCCTCCCTCTTCTCGCAACTGCACTGTCGATTTGTTGTTCAGGACACGGTTCACGACATGAGTTTGCCTATTGCAGGTCGGCTTGTGCGGTGTTCCCGTCTGCCTTGTGATCTTTCGATTCGCGATGTGCTGCGTCACCCGGCGTGCCTCTTCCACGTGTCCTCTAGCCTGCGGCCGGTGCTTGGGGTGGGGGGTAATTCGCATTCGTTACCTTTTACACGCTCGCTTTCTCCCAGGCCACGGTTCACCCCATGAGTTTGCCTATTGCAGGTCGGCTTGTGGGTTGCACCCGGTTTGCCTGGCGCTTCTTTCCAGCATCCGGGCCTGACACGCGCCCGCCGCCCTAGCAACGCAAAGGCGGCCGGGAGCGACAATCGAAGGTTTGTTTTCCCCTCGGTCTGGGTCAGTGGCTACGGCTCGCAGGCCAGATGAGGTTTAAGACCCAGTGCCTCTCCTTTTGGCTTTGTCCTCCTCCTCCTCCTGAAGGTCCTCTCTCTCTCTCCCCGATCTCCGCCCTCTTGCGTCTCCCCCCTTAACTCTCTCGTTGGCTGAACTTCTGAGCATCGGAGCATGGCTCCCCTCTGCCATCCCCCCCGCTCCGCACGACCTCCTCCTCCTCCTCCTCTCCTCCTCCTCCACCACCTCCTCCTCCTCCTCCTCCTCCTCCTCCTCCTCTCTCCTCCTCCTCCTCCTCCTCCTCCTCCTCCTCCCCCTCCTCCTCCTCCTCCTCCTCCTCCTCCTCCTCCTCCTCCTCCTCTCCTCCTCCTCCTCCTCCTCCACTCCTCTCCTCCTCCTCCTCCTCCTCCTCCTCCCCCTGCTCCCCCTCCTCCCCAACAGGTGGCGCCCTGGGGTGAGGCGATACCGCCGCGCCGCTTGCGCTTCGACGAGCCAGTCCCTGGGCGTCGAGCTGCTCGAGAGAGGCGGCACAGGCCCGCCAAACTTGACGCGAGCTCCCGCTGCAAGCATCTTGCGAAAACTGGGCCCTCCAAACTTGGCAGCGCGCACAAGGGTGTATGGGGGAGGGGGGGAAGGAGTCTTAGAAGGAGGCTGCTTCTTACAAGAAACCTTCCCCCCCTCCCCCTGCCCCCCTCTGCGCATGGCCGAAACATGCAGGAACGGCCCGTCGAGAAAGCGTGGGCAAAAAATGGTTGAAGAAGGCGCGTTTGGAAAGACATCTGCTCGCCTGCACACACACACACACACTCTAGACGTCGGCGCTGTTCGCAGAAACGAGGGCGGGAAATGCCAGGGCTTGCGGCCCTTCTGCGGCCCAAAATCGGGCCCGTCTTGTGAACTCAGTCGGCCAGAACTTCGCCCAGCGCCTATCTGAAACGTATCGCAGCGAAGCCAGGAGCTCCCCTCCTCCTGGGCCGGCCGAGATTTCAGTTCTCCCCCCCCCACTCTCCCCACGAGCGGCGAACATACATGCCTGCATCCGCGCTGGACTCCGGGGCGCGATCCCGCGGATACGCGGCCGCACGGATACTTTCCGCGCGGAACATCCGCGAGAAAGTACGCCCGCATCCGCGGGGGCGCGGCCCAGCGGACCCTGCCCGAGAAGCCGCGGCTACGGACAAGTTTCTCGCCCACGGATATGCCACCCTCTCGGGGGTCTTCTGAGCCAGGTCAATCCAGACCCGGGTCAGTCAGGCCTTGCAGAATCCTGCAAGATCCTGCACCCAAGCCCGGGTCAACGCGAAGGATCCTGCAAGATCCTACCGGATCCTGCACCCCAGCCCGGGCCCATGCGACCCTGGCCCTGCAAGATCCTGCAGATCGGGCGCTCTGGCTGACCCCCGTCTGCATTGACCCCCGTCTCGAGGCTCCCGACCCTTAAAACGACGCGAAGATCGGGACAAAATCGGATCGGGATAATCCGAAACCTCTGAGAATCGGCGGGTCTGGAGGATGTACTGGGCGCCGCGGCCGCTCCAGAGCGTTCCGGAACGCTCTGAGAGCGCTCCGGAACGCTCTGGAGCGATTTATCCCGATCCTAGCCCTGTTTTGACCCTCCCCCGCCCCGCCCCGCCCGGGCCGGCCGAGGCCCCGGCCAGCTCGCCCGCGGCCCCAGGGTGGAGGCATCCCACGCGCCAGCCAGGGCCGATGCCCTCCCGCCTCGGCGAGGCGGCCGCCCGGGCGGGGGTCGACGGCCATGGCGCCGCGCCGTCGTCGCCACCGCCGCCGCCGCCATGGCCGGCGTGGTCGTCGGGGCCGTCGGCGTGTCGCCGTCGTCGCCGCCGCCGCCGCTCGAGGAAGAGGGGGGAAAAAGGAAGAGGAAGAGGAGGAGGGGGAGGAGGAGGAGGAGGAGGAGGAGGAGGGCGGTTCACGCCAGCCATCGCTTGTCCAACGCGAGAGGAGGAGGAGGCGGAGGAGGAGGAGGCGGAGGAGGAGGAGGGGGCAAGAGCAAGAGGGAGCTATGAGAAGAGGGGGAGAAGAGGAGGAGCAGCCTAGGACATCACGAGGAAAAGCCGTGGAGGAGGGGGAAAACAGGAAGAGCGATGGCGAGGAGGGGGAGCGGAGGGGACAAAGGAGAAGGGAGGGAAGGGAGAGACGACCCATCCTGCTCCCACCTCCGCTCCTCGTCCTCGTCCTCGTCCTCCTTCTTCTCCTCCTCCTCCTCCTCCTTCTCCTCTTCCTGCCCCTCGTCATCCTCCCCCTCCCCCTCCCCTTAATTAACCTTCCTCCATCACTTTTCCTGATAGATAACTACTCTCTGTCGCACCCCCAGACGTGCTGGTAGCGCTAGCCGGGCGCTTGCCTGATACATCCTCGCTAGATTTGGTACCGGAGATTGACACTTGCAACAACTACACGGACGGATGGGGTGGTTTTCAAAATGAAAATTTCGCCTTCGCGCTGCGTGCACTCGACTAAAATACATGAGCCCTCCGGGTGTGAGTGGTCCAACGAGCTCTTTCTGCGAACCCCCTTGTTTATTTTCGGGGAGGGGGCTCCCTTCCCCCGATCCCCTTCCCCTGGGTCTGGAGGGGGCGTTTCGTGAGGACTGGTGCGTCCAAAATGGCCCAAGATTGCTCCAATAAAGATGGCCCCATAAAGCTCACACGTGGTCTCCAATATCGCTCAAGATATCCCAGCATGGCTTAATATAGCTTCCAACATATCTCCAAGAAACTCAAAAACCACTCCGAGGCGGCTCCAAATGCCTGATGAACCTCTCACGGAGGCCCTACGAGGCCCAACTCATCCCAAAGCCTCATAACAATGTATGATGTTTGTTTCCTTCTCGCCGCTTCGCTTTCGCGGGGATCCTGAGGCCTCTAAATGGCTCCAACGTGGCTCAAGAGAGCTCAAAAAGGACACACAAAAGGCCGAAGAAGGCCCGAAGAGCGCCCAAAACAGCCCCGACAGGCTATTTCGACGATTCCAAGGGGATGGGGGGGCAGCATCGGCGACCCCCCATCTTTTGATCGATGGCCTCCAAAATGACCCCAAAAAGTACCCAAGGCCCCCAAGAAAGCCCACAGAGCCCAAGAGAGTCCCAAGAGAGCCCCAAGAGGGCCCAAGAGGCCTTCAAGATGGCCCAAACAGGTCCCCACGATGACTGCAAGACTCCTGTAAGGTCTTGATATCGGTTCCTGTCGTCGTCGTCGCCGCCGACGTCGTCGTGATCTCTGCTATACATCCCTGATCAGGGCAACTCGGCTGGTGTCTGTTGTTGGAGGGCTGGTGGGGGCATTTTTTTTTTTTTATTCGCGGCCCGCAAGGAAAAGTCCAGAGGGCGGTATGACCGAGGCTGGGGCACAGCGACAGATAATTGGCGCGACACCGCGCAGAGTGCACCTGCAGATAAATTAGAAAGAGGCGGCCACAACTGGGCAGCCAACGAGCACAGGTCAACCCGCAGGTGGGGGCGAACCGAAACCCTGCCGAAAGCACGCGGACCCAGGCAAAAGTCGCTGAGCGTGTGCCAGCAGCTGGTGGGGGTACGCGAAGCGTTTACAATCTTGCGACAGCCACAGGGATTGAGCACTGGTCGTTTTCAACATGGAGGTCTCGCCTGAACACCGCGCAGCAAAAGGCTTGCAACAGCTCCACAGATGAAGACGGGGAGGTCCAAATGGAGCTCCTGTACTAGCGCCGCGACCACACGTGTTAAACGCTTGCAACAGTTGCCCGGATTGAGGACGTGCCGTTTTTTTAAATGGTATCCCCGTCTGGGCGCAGCTCAGTGTTGCATTAAGCGGTCAAAGAATTTCACAGATGGAGGGCGGATCTTGTTCACATTGCGGCTCTCGCCTTAGCGCCGCGCGCATTCATTCTAGTCGCTTGCAACATCTACAAGGATGGAGGACGGCTCATGTTCGAACTGGGCCTCTTACTAGCGCCGCACACATTCATGCAGTCGACTTGTCTGTTGGCAACAGTTTTCAAGGACGGAAGACTGCCCCTTCTTCTAGATGGGTCTATCGCTTGGGACATTTATTCTGCAAGAAACCGCCAGAAGCTTGAGCAGATGCAGCAGCTGCACGGGTGAAATGTGACCAGTTTCAAACTGGGACTCTCGCTTGGCACTTCCTCAAAATTCATGCCCAGAAGTGCATGAGTGTGCTACCATGTGCAGAACATGCGCAATCAGTTATAGAAGGTATGGCACAAACACAAGTCCCTTGCAACTGTCACAGAGAAACTGTGCCATTGTGCATGTACTCGAACTTGTTCGGGAGCGGCCAAGAGGGGGGTGTCCAAGAGGGGGGGGTGCAAATCATGACCGGCGGCATGTGTGCGGCCCAGCGGGGGGGCCAGGGACGTAATGAAATAAGAAGAGGCGCCGTGAAATCTGGAGAAATATCATGGCCCACGCCATGATATCCACCCCCCCTAGTCATCACCCCCCTCTTTTCCGCCCCCGACTTTTTGCAGGCAACTACATCGATAGGGCCGGGATCACTTTGGAACGGGAATCTCTGCGGAAACCTCGCTGGACTGTATGATCCCACCTTTCCGCCAGTCACGCCACTGGCCAGAAGGATGCCAGGCAGACCCATCGGGCCGCCTCCCTCAGGCCCCATGGCCTGCACGGCCACTCCCGCGTGACTCTGGCGCTCCTGCGCCGACCTCGCCCGACACTTTCGCCGCGCTGCCGCAGGAGGAGGAGGAGGAGGAGGAGGAGGAGGAGCAGGAGCAGGAGGAGGAGGAGGACGAGGAGCAGGCTCTCGGTCCGGCACGAGTGACCTCGCGGCCTTCGTGGCCTCCCGCGGCGCGAGGGCAGCCCGAAAGGGGGGCTGTATACCACTTGCCGCGGTGGCGCCCTGGCGCACCGCACCGCTCGAGCCACCGCTCCGCTTGCGCTGCGGACTGTCTCGCTGCCCCGGTCCCCTCGATCCCCGTCGTAGCTTGCGCTGCCTGTCGTGTCGGCGTGGCGTGGGGCCGGCGTGCCACGGGCGCCTCCCTCACGTCCCATGACTTCAATCCGGGGCGCGCGCGGCTCTGGCTTCGACAGAGAGGAAGAGCGGACGGAGCGCACGCGGTGAGAGTCCACGCGGCGGTCTGACGGACCCTTTGCACAACATCGTGCGCCACCCCTCTCGCCGCCCTCTTTGCTCCCCGTTCCCCTCCTGTACCATCCGCTGCCCCCCCCCCGTGCCGCAACCTCCTCGGGGCGAGTGACGAGCCGCACTGCGCTGTCATCCTCCCTGCTCTTCCCTCTTTGTCTTTCTCCGCAACCCTACCCCTCACTGACCTCTCCTCCTCCGCCACTACCTCAACCTCCTCCTCCTCCTCCTCCTCCTCCTCCTTCTCGTCCTCCTCCTCCTCCCCCGTTCCCTTTCCCTCCTCTCCTTCCTCCTGGTTGGCCGGCTGTGTCCCCCACGTCGCGGGGTGACCAGGCGGGACGTTCTTCACTACCACGTGCCGGCCTGCGGGGGCCGTCGTCGTCGTCGTCGTCGTCGTCGTCGTCGTCGTCGTCGTCGTCGTCGTCGTCGTCATCGTCGTCGTCAAAGAGGAGGAGGACGACGAAGAGGAGGAGGAGGGGGGGGGGAGGAGGAGGCCCCGAAGCGGGCCGCCCACCGCGGCAAGCGGGAGGGGCCTCCCCCTCAGGCCATCCGTGGGGATGCCCTTCACGCCGGGCTCCGTGTGGGTGTACGCGGGGAACTCGGCACATCATCATCATCATCATCATCATCATCATCATCATCATCATCATCATCATCATCATCATCATCATCAGCATCATCATCATCATCATCAGCATAGCATCATCATCATCATCATCATCATCATCATCATCATCATCATCATCATCATCATCATCATCATCATCATCATCATCATCATCATCATCATCATCATCATCATCATCTTCATATCAGCACGACGTTGGTGGGCCCGTGGTTCGCGTGGCCGCCTCCACATGGGGCTGGTCGCCCTCTTCACTGGCCTCCCTTGCGCCCCGCGGCTCCGCCGAAGCCGTGCGCGGCGTCGTTTCTGCCGAGGTTCCCAAGGCTTCCCCATGGGGAGGCCCTGGCCCGCGCCCAGGTCCCCCGAGGAGCGGGGTCACATCACTCGTAGCGTAGTCCGCCGTCGGCAAAGCCCCGATGGGCGGGGCCTCGCCTTCACCTGGTGACCCGAGAGGCGGGCCAACGCCAGGCTGGGCCCCCGCCCTGGGCGACCCGAGGAGCGGGGTCGCGCGCTTCGCTGGTGACCCGAGGCGCGGGGCCGCACCAGTCATAGTAGAGTCAGCTGGTGGCGGCCCGAGGAGCGGGGCCACACCAGCCGCACGCGTACCTGCTTTTGGTGCCCCGAGGAGCGGGACCACGCCAGCCTGCGCATCTGTAACTGGTGACCCGCGGAGCGGGACCACACCATCGTGCGCGTACGCATCTGGTGGCCCGAAGATCAGGACCACACCCGCCTCTGGCGGCCCGAGGAGCGGGACCACACCAAGCGTATCCGTGCTGGCTTCTTGCGGCCCGAGAAGCCGGACCACACCAGCTTGCGCATCTGCTTCTGGTGTTCCGCGGGTCGGGACCACACCACCCTACGTATCTGCTTCGGGTGGCCCAAAGAGCGGGACCGCACAAGCCGCATTTGCAGCCCCATGCCTCCCGCATCCTCACTACCTGGATTGGCTCGCCAACGAACTGGTGGGTCACTGGGTGCCTCCCCTTCCCTCATGGCGGAGCCCCGTCTTCGCTTTCATGTAGTTGGGCTTATCCTGGCACGCCTGGGCATGCAGCATGGTCGGGCACCCGCGCTCCTCGCCTCACACGCGCTGCAGAAAATCACCGTGCTCGCCGCCGTCAGCGTGTGGATTTGGTAGGCTGCATTGTGGGCTTCCTCTGCGCAGCCCAATCGCCAGCTCGCCCTCGGATTTGGACCTCTCGCCACATCTGTCGCACCCGTGGCGCTGCTTCATACCGTTGCCCAGCCACTGGGGGCTTTGCCTTAGCGCCGTCTCCCCGTCCATCTCGGGGCCTGCGTCGACTGGCATGAACAGCTGTGGCGTGGTCTCTCTCTCTCTCTCTCTCTCTGGGTGCGGGCTTGCCCTCGCCTTCCCCATTCGCTTCCGTCAGGCACCACGCGCCAATCTCCTTCGCTGCTCGCAGCTCGCTCTTCGGCCGCCGTCGCTTCGGACACTCTCGCCTTCTTGCTTGACTGTGCGCTCGCGCTCGCCTCTCCTAGAACGCTCTCCTGTACTTTCCGTATGGCCCCATGCGCCTCCTTGCGAGAGGTTGGCCTCTTTGGGAGCTGGCTCTTCGGTTCTTCGCCTCCGTCATCGCTCGCCTCGTCCACCTCGTCGCGTTGTTTCTTCTTTTGCCTCTTCGATTGTGCTGGGCCTGGCTTGCCGCTGGTGTCCACTGTCGCAACACCCGTCGCTGCCACCACGATGGCGGCTCTGCTCGGCCCTGCTTGCCCACCCCCACTGGGATCGTGGTCGCCCTGCATCCAGTGCTCGATGTCCAAGTAACTATCGGAATTGCTGCCTCGGCTCGCGTATCTGCTGCCGGCGGAACCCGATGTAGGCCTCCCGCACTTCACCCACTGCTTGGTCGATCAGCCTGAAGAACCACCCCCTCCTCGGTCCCACTGCCTCCTGCAATAGTCCTCCAGGAAGTCGTCAAAATACCTGGTCGGGTTGGACGTGACGAAGTGAATTCTGAGGGCCCCACGCTGCGTTAGCAGTACTTCGCGTAAGTATGCCACACACACACACCAATCGGCCCAACTCTCCTCGTCCGTGTACTCCTCGCCTCTCATGCAGTCGAGTCACATACGCAATCGCCTTCGAAGTATGTGAGCCTGGTCTTTTTGAGTGGGTCCGTACCGCATGTGGACATACGGCATACGCCCCATGTAGTTGGGGCTCGTCGCCGGCGCCGTCCCCGAAACTCATCTTGTAGCCTTTCCTGACCTCGGCCTCTGATCTCGCCTTACGCTCCGTAACGCTTGGTCTCTCTGCCGCTTGGTGGTCTTCGAGGCCGTCAAGCTTGTTCGCTTTGACCTTCCCCCCTGCTTGCCCGTGTTTTCCCTCGAACCGCCGTTGGCCATCACGCTCACATGGCCCATACTATCCCGCCATCTTTTTGACCGTCTCGACCTGCTGCAGGTGCCTCGCGACCTCGTACAGCCAGCTGTCTTTGCGGCATTGGGCTCGGGAGCTTCGCCCCTCTTGTCCGCCGCCTGGCTGCCCAGGGGCCATCCTCTCCTCGGCGGCTCCGCACCCCGATCTGCTTCTCGTCTGGTGCGCCTTCGCCTCTGCGAGCTTGCTGCTGTGCTCGCCTGCGTCTCTCCTCGAAAGCCCACGAGGCAGAACGCAAAACAGCACCGCCCTCGGGCGGGATCGATGGCCCTAAAAATTTGCCTCGGGGTGCGACAAGGAAAAGTTATCGATCATGAAAAGGAATAATGTAGGAGGAGGAGGAAGAGGAGGAGGAGGAGGAGGAGGAGGCGTTGGGGGGGCCGCCAGGGGACCTCGAATCCGAGCCGCCGGTGCCTGCACGCCAAGCGTGGCGACGAGGCACGAGCAGGAGCAGCAGTCGATCTGGACGGCAGCGACGACGGGGCGCACGCGGAGGTGCTGAGATCGGCGGCCAGGTCAGGTCGGCCTCCTCCTCCTCCTCCTCCTCCTTCTCCTCCTCTTGCTCCTTCACTTCCTCCTCCTCCTCCTCTTGCTTCTGCTCCTCCTCCTCCGCCTCCTCCTCCTTCTCCTCCTCCTCCTCCTCCTCCTCCTCATCATCCTCCTGGTGCGCGAACGACCACGAGGCTCGCCAGCTCTCGAGCGGCTCTGTGGCCCTCGCCCAGTGACACGGAAGGCAAGCCTGCCCGCACGTCGCTGGTGCCGTTTGCCGCCTGGCCAACGGTGGGCAGCTGCCGACTCAGATGGTGGGCTCGTTTTCCACCACCACCACCACCATACGTAGGAGGGGGAGGGGGTCATCTTCCTCCTCCTCCTCCTCCTCTTCGTCCCCCTCCTCATCCTTCATCTCCTTCCCCCCTCCAACCTATGGTGGTGGTCGTGGAAAACAAGCCCGTGATCAGATGCGGGGGCGGAGGAGGGAGGAAGGGTGAAAAAGGGGAACAACGACGACGAAAAAGAAGGAGTGGAGGAAGAGGAAAGAGAGAATGGTGCGACCCGCCCACTCCAATCCTCCCACCCGCAGAATAAGAACCGCTCTCCACGAATTTAGATGCGCTGCGCCAGAGTGAAAGCCCAAATTCCCGAACCTGATCGGCGCCCTTTTGGTTTCGGTCACCTGCCGCCGCCGCCGCCGCCACAGCCATCGCCGTCGCCGTCGCCGTCGCCGTCGTCGTCATCGCCGTCGTCGTCGTCCTCCTCCTCCTCCTCCTCCTCGTCGTTGTCGCCGTCGCGGTCGCCGTCGCCGTCGTCGTCGTCGCCGTCGCCATCGCCGTCGCCGTCGCGGTCGCCGTCGCCGTCGTCGTCGTCATCATCGTCGTCGTGGTCGTCCCCCTCCTCCTCCTCCTCTTCCTCCTCCTCCTCTTCGACCTCCGCCTCCCTCCTGTTTCTGTCCGTCCTCCTCCCCATCCTCCTCTTCTTCCTCCTCCTCCTCCTCCTTGTCCTCCTCCTCCTCCTCGTCGTCGTCGTCGCCGTCGCCGTCGTCGTCGCCGCCCTCGTTGCCGTCGTCCCGCGCGGCGCTCGCGGAGGGTGCCGCCTTCCGGGCGCGGGGCCGCGCAGGCGCCCGGCGGCGCCGCGCCGCCGCCTTCCCCCTGCCTCGCCAGGAGGGACTGGAACGTGCTCAGGAGCGTGCTGCCTCGCGGGCGACAAGCCGATTCCGAATGTCACAAAAACAAGGGCGACGAGATCTCTTTTTGTTCCCTCTCGCTCTCTCTTTTTGATTGTGTGTTGTTTATTCACGTTTATCTTTATCTATATATATATATATACATCTATATGTTATATCCCTCCTTTTCTTTCTTTATAGAGTTGTTCTTGCTTGCTTTCTCTATTATTTCGGTCTTTCTCTAGAGTTGTCTCTCTCTCTCACGCTCTTGCTTTCTCTTGTTCTCTCTCTATTATTTCGGTTATATTTATATATATGTATAAATACATGTATGTATGTATATATGTATGTACATATATATATATGTATATAGATTGGCCTCCCGTTGTTTCTCTCTCTCTCTCTCTCTCTTTCTCTCGTTCTACCAAATGTGATGGATCAGAAAAAGCATTACGTAAATTGCTGGCACGACTCCTGCTGGCACGGCTCCGGCACAACCCCTTGCACAAGCATCCCAATGTTCCTCCACAGCATGATAAATATATACGAATATATATCTATATATATATATATAGCACCACGCGCGCGCTTCGCGCGCGCTTAGGTCCCAGTGGACGTCCCAAAAGTTTGTGGCACACGGAACATGGCGACTGCGAGCCTTATTGAGGTTCGTCCTGGTCCTGGTGGACGTTCTCCTCGTCGTTTTTAGTTTTGATGTTCTCCTCCTTTTTCAGCCCGTGTCTGACACAAGACCTTTGCCTGGGGCGCATGCTGACCACCATGTCGAAACGAATCTCGGCGCGGTGACAAAAGGGTTCCGTAGGAAGAGCAGCGGTATCAGTATTTGTCCTAATCATCATCGTCGTCATCGTCGTTTTCATCGTAGGTGTACGTGACGTGTTCTGGAACGGCATGTCGGAACGCGTGAAGTGGGGGCTGGCGGACTCCTCCATCATCACCATCATCATCATCATGACCACCGCCATCAACATCATGAACATAATCATCATCATCGCCATCGTCATCGCCAGCGTCACCGCCACGAGCAACGTGACTGTACGTGCTCCGAAAAGGCGTGGCCTTCATGCGCATAATCAGTGTCACCAAGACCGTCATCATCTTATAACCACAATGATTGATTATCCTGATCGCCGTCGTCATTATAACCCTCATACTATTACTCGTCATCGTCATCGCCGTCCCCCTCGCCGTCATAGATTCGTGCTCCACAAATGCGTTTCTGGAGCATGCAAAATGGGGGTTGGCGGGCATGTCCATCATCATCGTCTTCATCATCGCCCTCTTCATCATTGACGGAACCATAGTCGTCGCTATCGCCACCATGGTCGAAGTCCTTTTCGTCCGTCATGGACCTGGTGTGGGCCGTCATGGGGGGCTCTGGGCGTGATTCGTAATTATTTTGTTTTTCTGCGGGGGCGCCTGGGGGCCCCGTGGGAGCTGTCTTGCGAGCCTCGCGGGGCCCTCTTGGGCCATCGCGGGGGGTCGTCTTGGGTTGTCTCGGGGCCCTCTTCGGCCGTCTTTGGGCGCCCTCGGGGGGGATGCACGGGGCTGCTCCGGGGCGCCTGGGAAGCGCCCTGGGCTCTTTGGAGGCTGCCCCGGGCTTATTGGGCCGCCACGTTGGTGACGGGGGGCTTCACTGGGCCTCGCTGGGAAGGGGCGCCGCCGCGAAGCCCCCCCCCCAACCTTTCTGAAACGGTCCACAGAGCGAGCGGGATCACGGAGCACGGAGCAGGGGGCGACGACGACGACGACGACGACGACGACGACGACGACGACGACGACGACGACGACGACGACGACGATAGCTTCGCGGCGCCGGAGAGGGGCGAGCGGGGGCGGGAGGGTGAGAGGGGACAAGGGAAAGGGAGAGCGGGGGAGGGAGAAGAGCGAATGGGGGGAGCGAGGGGCGGCGACAGGAGGCGCGGAGGAGAAGTGACCGAGGCAAAAACTTGCTGATTCGTTCTACTTACCCCTCGGAACTCGTGGCGAAGCGCGCGCCGAAACATGACGGCGCTGGAGGGCCGGGCGCCCCCGGCGGCGAGCGTCGCGGGGGAGAGCAGCGACGCCCCAAACAGCCCGCGGACCGCGCCGCGCAGTGCCGGGGCGCGGACAAGGCACGCAAATGCGCCACCCTGGGCGCCTGGAAACGTGACCCGGAAGGAAAGGGGGAGGAAGAGAGAGGAGGAGGAGGAGGAGGAGGGAGAGGGGGAGAAAGAGAGGGAGGAGGAGGAGGAGGAGGAGGAGGAGGAGGAGATGGAGGAGGAGGAGGAGGAGGAGGAGGAGGAAGAGAGAGCGCAGGCGGAAGAGCGGGAGCGGAAGCAAGCAGAAACAGACAAGGTACCGCACCGAGGGTGGGCCAAAATCCCCCAGGCAGAAAAAAACACCTCGCCGGTGCGGAGACGTATCAGACTACGTCCGAGGTGCTCGCACTGAGGACCCACGCGAGCGAAGGAGGAAGAACAGAGAAATCAGGAAGCAGAAACAAAACAATAGAAAAGAAGACTAGCGCCGCGGACGCGGGTGCTCACGCCGGGCCAGTCATGGCAGGCAGATCCGCCGGCATTCAGGATAATAACGACATGCACAGGCCTAGTCAACAAGCGTCATCATCATCGTCATCATCAGGGTCCGCAAGTGCATGATCACATCACCAAGGACGTCACCATGATGTTGTATCCATTACCATGTTGCTCACCTTCATGATCGCACTCGTCATCACCAGCCTCATTATAAGCCTCGTCATCGCAATCGTCATCGCCATCGTCATCGTTATTGAAAGTTCACGTTCTCCAGAGAGGCGTTTCTGGAGCAGGTGAAATGAGGGCTGGCGGACATCCTCATCATTATCATCACCATCATCATAATCACCACGATCCTGAACATAATCGTCATCATCGCCATCGTCATCGCCAACGGCATCGTCATCAGCACCGTGAGTGTACGTGCTCCGAATAGGAGTGGCCCTCAGTTGCATGATCAACATCACCGAGATCGTCATCATCTTCTGGTCATCGCTATGTCCACAACCTTCATGGTCATGGTCGTCTTCATACTCCTCGTCGTCATACTCGTCGTCACCATCGCCATCGCCATTGTCATCGCCATCGTAGATTAACGTGCTCTTGAGAAGCGCTTTCGGAACACGTGAAATAGGGGCGGGCGGGCATTCCCATCATCATCATCATCATCATCATCATCATCATCATCATCGTCGTCGTCGTCGTCGTCGTCGTCGTCGTCATCACCATCACCATCACCATCACCATCACCATCACCATCACCATCACCATCACCATCACCATCACCATCACCATCACCATCATCGTGACCATCATCGTTACTACCATCATTAGCATCACCACCACCATGATCATCATCATCATCATCATCATCATCATCATCATCATCATCATCACCATCATCATCATCATCATCATCGAGAACACAATCATTACCATTATCGTCATCGTCATCGCCATCATGGTCAAAATCTTTTTCGTCCGTCATGGAACTGTTCTGGGCCGTCATAGGGGGGCTCTGAGCGGGAGTTTTATTTGTTTTTCTTTGGGGGTGTCTTGGGGTCCAGCGGGGGTTGTCTTGGGAGCCTCACGGAACCCTCTTGGACAATTGTGGGGTCCTCTTGGGTTGTCCCGGGGCCCTTTTCGGCCGTCTTGAGGCGCCCTTGGGGAGGCTACAGGGGGCTTCTTGGGGCGTCTTGGAGGCACCAAGGGCTTTTTGGAGGCTGTCCTGGGCGTCATGGGTCGTCATTCTGGGGGGGGAGGTGGGCTCGGGGGCTTCGCAGCTGGTGAGGGGGAGGCTCTTTGGACCGTTTTGGACAAGTCTGGGGGTCTTCACGGCGGCTTGGTGGGTCGTCTTAAAAGCCTCTGGGGCAAGTTTCTGGCTGATGAAAGCGAGCTCGAGGCCGTCTAACACCCATCAGAAAATCGTTCTGAAACCGTCGTGAAATACATGGGATTCGGCTCTCGGGGCTCCTTTTTGTTGGGCATGTTGCTGGCGGCTTGTTGGGCTGATGGATACGGGGTACCTGGATGCTGTATTGGGCGTCTGGAGTCGCTATTTTGGCGATGGGAGGCATCCCTGGATCGTGTTTGGCATGTGGGGGGGCTGGTTGGCGGCTTCGGGGGCCCTCTTGAAGCCATCTGGGGCTGTTTTCGGGCCTTGTTAGAGGCTCTTGGGCCGTCTCAGGGCGAAGTGGAAGGCGTCTGGGACCTTTCTTGATTACACCGGAGCTGGACACGCGCACGCGTGAAGATCTTGCAAAAACCCCACATAGTGAAGTGCATGGAATTCGGCCCTGGGGGCCCTCTTGGGCAGGTTTTCGGCGGCTTCTTGGGGCGTCTTGGAGGCATCTTGGGCTGTCTGGAAGCTGTCTTGGGCGTCTTGGGTCGCTATTTTGGTGGGCGGGGGCCGCTCTGGGACCCTCCGGGACAGCTCCTGGAGGCCCGGGGCGCCCATGGCGACGCGGGGAAGCTGGCAGGGCCCCTCTGGGACGGCTCCCCGAGGCCCCGGGCGCCCATGGCGACGCGGGGCAGCTGGCAGGGCCCCTTCCCCCAGTAGCCTTGTGTGTGTACATGTATATGTATGTTTATATAAACATGTATTATGAATGGGAAATTGATTACGTATATGTATATGATTACGTATATGTAAGTGTATGTGTATGTGTATGTGTATGTGTATGTGTATGTGTATGTGTGTATGTATATGTATATGTATACGCACGTGCATATGTCTATGTAGATATAGAAGTCGATGCATATGCCGAGGTATGCGTATATGTATGTGGTACGCATATGCATGTGTGTATGTATAGGTTGTTATTCTAATGCATACAAATTTTACATGTCTGCATATGCGTATGCACAAATAGATGCATGCGTAGATGAGTGTGTACATGTAAAGGTATTTGCCTGTGTATATGCATCTGCATCTGTATCATACTAAAGATACGGATATGTACATGATAATGCGTACGCGTGCGTATATGTGTA